GTCTCAAGGAGGGCAGCAAAGAAGCCACTTCTCTCCAGGAAAAACATCAGGGAGACTGATATTCTGCAAAACGTGCAGGGAGTGGACTGCTGAGGACTGGGGTGAAGTCATTTTCTCTGATGAATCCCCTTCCGATTGTTTGGGACATCTGGAAAACGGTTTGTTCGGAGAAGACGAGGTGAGCGCTACCACCAGTCTTGTCTCATGCCAACTGTAAAGCATCCTGAAACCATTCATGTGTGGGGTTGCTTCTCAGCCAAGGGAGTCGGCTCTCTCAGTCTTACCTAAAAACACAGCCATGAATAAAGAATGGTACCAGAATGTCCTCCGAGAGCAACTTCTCCCAACCGTCCAAGATCAGTTTGGTGATGAACAATGCCTTTTCCAGCATGATGGAGCACCTTGCCATAAAGCAAAGGTGATATCTAACTGGCTCAGGGAACAAAACATAGAGAGTTTGGGTCCATGGCCTGGAAACTCCCCTGATCTTAATCCCATTGAAAACTTGTGGTCAATTATCAAGAGACGGGTGGACAAACAAAAACCTAGGAATTCTGACAAAATGCAAGCATTGATTGTGCAAGAATGGACTGCTATCAGTCAGGATTTAGTCCTAACTGCTGTTCGTTGTCTTGTTTTTTCCAACTTAAAAACTTTAAAGGCAACATTTTGAAACTGTACAGTTACAGAAACTCTAATGTGTTAATAATGCAAATAAAATCAGCCGAAGCTAATGTGCTTCTTAAAGTATTCCTGAAGTTAAGCCATACTGGATGTACACTGAATTATATTCTTACAAAATCACAAGAAAGAATGAGAATATAATGTTTTAAAATATACCATATAGTCTATTTATGGATATCATTTTAAAATGAGATCCTTTATAAAATGCAGCACTTTTAAATAAAAAAATGAAAAGATCCAAGACTTTTCATATAAAAATGTAAGCAATATTCTCTAAAAAGTCAAATCTGTCAAAAATGGAGAGAAAAAGATGCACTTTCTTAAAAAATGTAAATAAAATGGTTCAACTGAAGCTGCATCTCTGTTATAAACTAAATGTAAACATGAGTCAAGATATACTAATTATTAGTATTTTGTGGCAGGAAGTACATGAAACTGCAGGTGTTCGCTTTAGTGTTGAAGTATACAATAAGTGAATGTCTTTATGTTCTTTATTGCTGTGAAAGCTGCAGGCGACTGAGGAAAGTAAAATTTGTTTCTATGTCACATTTTGTCTCAAACAAGTTTATGAAGTTGCATGTTGTGTTTTAATGTTCTAATAAGATAAGAATGGAAAAAAACATGTTATATAAATGCAAATCAAACACTGAAAAGGTTCAACAGGATCTTTGACTGGTCCAAAGGTCCTTTCTGGTCTGAACAAGAGACAAAAACAAACACGGCTATCTCCTTCGTTCTGTTTGACCTCCTGGCTTGTCAACACAAACCGACCTCTGCCTTGTTTTTCTCTTCCTCTTTAGTGTGCCAGAGGTTCAAACAGCAGAAACAAGATGGCCGCCACTCTGCAAGTGGCACCAGCATGTACAGGATGCAACAGTGCTCGACTGGATCGCATCTCTCTCTGTGTTCAGATGATGATTGGGTGAGAAGTCTGAGTCTGAGGAAGTGCTCCTTTAAGCAGTTATTGATCAGTTTTAAACAGATCAATAACTGTGAAATGAAATAGATGTGTAGTTACTGGCAACTGAAAGTGGTAGGTTTGTTTCTAAAGATTTGTTTCTAGTAATATCCTTTAATTTATTGATAATCCTTTTTATGACTAAAGAATAATGCAGGACCGTGGATAGAGCCTTGTGGTGCTCCACCTTTAAACTGGATCAGTGTTTTCTTTTGTTAGGAGCCATTGGCCCCAACTTTCTCACATCCAGCTCTCATCTCCTCCTCCTCAGGTCTCCAAATGCCCGTCTGGCTGCAGGCTGCAGGGTTTGATGTCACAAATGGAAAGTGATGTGGAGAAAAGCTGCACATGTTCTGTCAAAAGTCAAGTCTTTATGAAATCAATGGAGAAGTCCATGACGGAGATGACGCACATCTACAACTCCAACCGCAGAGTCATGGTCAACAGATACAGTTAAGATTCACACAAAGTGTTCAGTTTAGGCTTTTTGGAATAAATAACATAAAGCTGGATTTTGTGTTAGTTTCAGAACTGAAGTTTGTGGAAAGTGACGACAAACTGGCCAAGAACCTCGGAGCTACGACAGCGATCTCGATTTCTGGCACAGAAGGTGAAGGAGTTGAGGAGCCATGTGAGGAACAGGTGGAGGAAATGCATCGAACAGAGGCGAGGATGCAACAAAACAGACAAGAAATGCAGCTGCGCAAGTTTTTCAAGTGAAAGGAAAATTAGACATTTTGTTCTGAAGGTTTTACAGTTAAAACTGAGAAGTTTTCTTTTTGACAGAAATTTATAAGTATGTGATTACCTCATACCAGACTCCCCGTTCTTCCATATTTGGTCATCAGTTGCTCCCTTCTGCTCTGGTTTGATTAAATATAGGTTCCTGGCTGATTTCCCAGAATACATTCAGACCAGGCCTGTTCCTCTTCACCAGAACTTGTAAAAAGCTTTTCTCTCTGCACCCAAAGCCTGTCCCTATTTCACCATTATTCTGATTTCAGTCTTTATATGTTAAACAGAATCATAACTTTATCAACATAATCATGATTAATACATTCCTTCAGTCATTACTCCTTAATACTTATCATTTTGATTCGGTATGATAACACATTCAGTTGTGATTTCCTGTTTAACTGGTTTATAAACAACTTCAGAATTTACTCACTTCATAATCATCATCAACACTTTTACATGATATATAAAATACACATATTCCCATAATCAACATTGAATCATAATACAAGATTACTTCAGTCTCTCAGGCCCGTTATGATCTGTTTCTGCATGAACCCTGGACAGATCTCACCTCCTCATACCAGTTTTTGTAACACAGTGTTGACCCCTCTTCTTCAGGACCTCTGCAATTCTCCCTGCCATGCTCTCAATCAACTTCTGGACTAAATCCTGACTGATAGCAGTCCATTCTTGCACAATCAATGCTTGCATTTTGTCAGAATTCCTAGGTTTTTGTTTGTCCACCCGTCTCTTGATAATTGACCACAAGTTTTCAATGGGATTAAGATCAGGGGAGTTTCCAGGCCATGGACCCAAACTCTCTATGTTTTGTTCCCTGAGCCAGTTAGATATCACCTTTGCTTTATGGCAAGGTGCTCCATCATGCTGGAAAAGGCATTGTTCATCACCAAACTGATCTTGGACGGTTGGGAGAAGTTGCTCTCGGAGGACATTCTGGTACCATTCTTTATTCATGGCTGTGTTTTTAGGTAAGACTGAGAGAGCCGACTCCCTTGGCTGAGAAGCAACCCCACACATGAATGGTTTCAGGATGCTTTACAGTTGGCATGAGACAAGACTGGTGGTAGCGCTCACCTCGTCTTCTCCGAACAAACCGTTTTCCAGATGTCCCAAACAATCGGAAAGGGGATTCATCAGAGAAAATGACTTCACCCCAGTCCTCAGCAGTCCACTCCCTGCACGTTTTGCAGAATATCAGTCTCCCTGATGTTTTTCCTGGAGAGAAGTGGCTTCTTTGCTGCCCTCCTTGAGACCAGGCCTTGCTCCGAGAGTCTCTGCCTCACAGTGCGTGCAGATGCACTCACACCTGCCTGCTGCCATTCCTGAGCAAGCTCTGCACTGCTGGCAGCCCGATCCCGCAGCTGAAACACTTTTAAGAGACGGTACTGGTGCTTGCTGGTCTTTCTTGGGCGCCTGGAGCCTTTTTAGCAACAAGGAGAGAGGTTCCTTCTCTCCAGGAACCTCTCTCCTTGAAGTTCTTGATGATACAATAGATTGTTGACTGAGGTGCAATCTTTCTAGCTGCGATTCTCTTTCCTATTAGGCCATTTTTGTGCAGTGCAATGATGACTGCATGTGTTTCTTTAGAGATAACTATGGTTCACAGAGGAGAAACAATGATGCCAAGCACCAGCCTCTTTTCAAAGTGTCCAGTGGTGTCCTTCTTACTTAATCATGACAGATTGATCTCCAGCCCTGTCCTCATCACCACCTACACCTGTGTTAATGGAGCAATCAATGAAACGTTGTTAGCTGGTCCTTTTAAGACAGGGCTGCAATGAAGTTGAAATGTGTTTTGGGGGATAAAGTTCATTTTCTAGGCAAATATTGACTTTGCAATTAATTGCTGTTACGCTGATCACTCTTTATAACATTCTGGAGTGTATGCAAATTGCCATTATAAAAACTGAAGCAGTAGATTTTGTAAATATTAACATTTGAATCATTCTCAAAACCTTTGGCCATGACAGCAGACTGGTGAGAGAAAAAGTAGATCTCGGTCTCAAAAAGTTTGAGCTCCCCTGCACTAAAGGGCTCAGAAGGGCCAGCACAGGATGGGGCTTACTGGGGTGGAGAACCCACTTACTGGGGACTGGGAACCAGCGTGTTTATCAGAGGATAGCTCTGCAGCCTGGGGAGCAGGAACTTTCTGTGCGGCTCGGCTCCCCAAAGCCGGCTGTTCTGACCTGGAAGCCAGTCATGCAGCCTGACGCCCAGGAACTAACAGAGCGGCTTGGAAACCGAGTCCCAGAGGGGAAACCCCGAACCCTGGAGCTGTAGCAGTGAGAAACCAGGAAGCTTTAGCAGTGGGAGGTGATGACAGAACTAGAGACGAGCAGACAGTGGCAACTGGAGGCGAAACTGGAGCCGGGGATGGAGCTGAGCTTATGGAGTGGATCAGTTTCCTCTTTCAGAAACTTCCTACATGTTGACAACATAACGTTTTGTGTTCAGTCAAATTCCTGAACTAGAACAGACATCCTGATGAAGCTCATTTGCCAAATTAAATGTTTTTAATAAATAGTTTCTGAACTATCACAGTTTATTTACATTGCTTGAACAGTTGGGTCACACTGGTACCAGGACACAGAACCAGGTCCCTGATACATTTACTGAAAGGCCTGATGTCACAACTGAACAAATATGTATAAGAGAAAACAGCAAATAGATCTTGGAAGCCTGTCATGATGATTGTTCTCATCTTCTTTGGGTTCACTGATCTTCCAGTGTTATTGACACTCAGCCCAGATCCTGGATCCGGTATTTATTTTCAAGTTGAAGAAGCCAAGCTCATGTTTTTCATCAGGTGATGTTTGATGAAGGTGAGGTGACACATCAGCAGGTATAAATAACGGAGTCTGAACGTCTGAGACACAGAGGAGAAGCAGAAGTTTGGAATCAAGTTCATTCAGCTGCAGGTGAGAGATGAACGAATGAATTCATTTACAACTGAGTTTGGCCACTAAAGTTAATTTATTTTTATTGTATTGGATATTAACAGTGAACCACACTGACCACAGATTTTCAGTTTGTCCAGTTCAACAGTAAGGATGAAGGTAAGTTTGTATCTTGAACTATAAAGATTCATAAGTGAATCGATTATCACTTTTATAATGAATATAGTCGGTACAATGAAAAGGAAAACGTCCACAACATATTTATCGGTTTAATCCAAATATTTTCCAGTCTAAACATTTGCATTGAGCTTTTTCAACATTGTAAATGTTTACCATTTGTTTAAACACTTCCTGCATATCATTGGCTCTGGAAATAACATTTGTTAACAGGACTGATGAAATGAGTTGTTAAAAAATGGAGGATCAAACCAACCAGAAACCTTTGTTAAGGCAGAATTCAGCATAATTCTGACTGAAAATCTGGCAGCACAGCTTACAGGCCACATGCAGGACAAGATCAGGGATCAGGTTTAATCTGACTAAATGAACGTTAATCAGAGTTTCTCTGATGATGTTCAGAAGGTGTCATGTTCTGTCTTCCAGCTGTTATCACTTCTCTTCCTCCTGGCTCCACTGCTGATCAGCTGTGAAGCGGCTGAGGATCAACTGCCAGTTGATTGTGATGACATCTACAATAAGGATAATAATCTTACCAGTGGAGTTTACATCATCTATCCAAGTGGATCTACATCTGCTATTCAGGTGAACTTTATGTTTGGTTTTGTTCATAAAAATGAAGATCCAGATTAAAGTTCTGTGCAGGACCAAGACTGGAGGTTTATCTGTTAACAATACTGAGGATGTTTTTACTTAATCTTCATACACATTACATAAACTGACTGTTTGAAACTGAACTTTCTTGATAGTATTTATTTTTCCACATAAAGTGTGACATTGCATTACATAATAAAAACTGCATCAAGTCATGAATGTGTTTGTGTGAAGGCTTACTGCGACATGGACTCAGAGGGAGGACGCTGGACGGTGAGTCCATCTCTACATGAACTCTCTCTGTTTACACTTCAACTTGGTTCATCTCAGGATTCTTGGGGGATTTCATCCAACAAACATCAAGTTCTGTTGAAAGAAGAGTCTTTATTGTCCTTCCATTTTCACCTGCCTGAGATAAGATTTGATCAGTTTTGTCATGTTAAATATTGATTATTGATACCAATTCAGAGTTGGTACAACCCACTTCCTTTTCACCCTGAGTGTGTCAGTGAGAACGTTGTTCACTTCTTGATCAGATTCCTTTGTTGTTCCAGGTTTTCCAGAGGAGGATGGATGGCTCTGTAAACTTCTACAGACCCTGGGCGGAGTACAAGAGAGGCTTTGGAAACGCTGCTGGAGAGTACTGGCTGGGTGAGACACCGACCTAAACAGTTAGTCAATGTATGGTTGGTTTATTTATTTACTTATAACATAGTTATAACTCAGTTCCTGCAAACCCAGATTAACCAGGTGTTTAATGCAAAATCTAAATTTAATGGTTTCCATGTCTGTGCAGGTCTTGATAACATCCGTGAATTGACACGGAGTCAGAATTATGAACTGATGGTCGACATGGAGGACTTTGAAGGAAACAAAAAGTTTGCTCTTTACTCTTCATTTAAAGTCGATGCTGAGTGTGAGGGTTACCTTCTGCATGTGAGCGGTTTCAACAACAAAGGGGGCGCTGGTGAGTCATGAGAAAACCTCATCAAAGCTTTACTAGACAGGATGGAATGATGCCCATCACTGTTTATCCCTTGGCAAATGAAATAATTCGACTTGTGCTGGGTCTAGAAAGTAAAGATCAAGGCATTGAGTATGGATCCCTGAGGAACTCCTGTGTTAGTGCAGGTGTATAATAACAACAATAATAATAATAAAGATAATTTACTGTAGCTAGTCTATTCTAACTACAGGATTAAATAAAAATAAAAACCACCCTGGTTGGATTAAATGTGTTGTGTCATTTATATCTAAATCCAGAGTTTGTTCTCATGGTTCTGAAGGAAACATATTGATGTTGGTAGTTAACAGCACAAAACCTGAGTAAAGTAAATTTAATTGATCTCATTGATAATATCCCAGTAAGAGATTAACATAACTTTTTATTTATTTCACAAAATATTAACAATATTTCACAAAGCCTGCATTTTTTTTTACATATTGAAATTACAATTTTATTTTTTTGTCAGATCATGCAGATTTTTTTTTTTCACTATTTAAGCTTTCAACTGAATGTCTGTTTTATTCATATAGTTTTTGTATCCTATTATTATTTCTGCAGGAGACAGCCTTGCCTATCACGGTGGAATGAAATTTTCCACCTTTGACAAAGACCAGGACCAGTGGAGCAGCAACTGTGCCAAAAAATATCTCGGTGCTTTCTGGTACAAAGAATGTCACAATGCAAACCCCAATGGGGTTTATCGCTGGGGGGCTGACAACACACTCCATCATATTGGAGTGGAATGGCGTCAATGGAAGGGATTTAATTACTCCCTGAAAAGCATCAGCATGAAGATCCGTCCTGCCAAGTAAATCTGCAGGTCAAACATCCTGCAAAAAATAATGAGTTGCTTTTTCTTATAATCAACCATCAACTTTTGGCTTCAAACATGAATCAAAAGTTCACTTGATTACTAATAAATATAATCCAGTTAATTAAATCATTGGTGAGAGTTTGCTACCTGTAATCAATTTATCTCTGATAATAAATAAGATGCCAGCAGCAATATTTGTGTGTCTGGATTTTTTTACATGTAAAAATTAAAATAAGCCAGTTTTAAAACACAAATTGGGCCAAATGGAAACATTTTTAGAACCAAATCTTTTGGTTAAATGCAATTAACTGAAAAAAACTAGATCTTCCATAATTCTAAATTTTACGCTCAGCTGTGTCAATGTCAACATCTATATCTATTTAATGATCTGTTTATGTCACTCCCAGAGAAAATAAAGTATATCTGATGTTGGACAAATACAAGGAGTTTAATTAATGAGCTTCTTAAAATACTTTGTTGTACCCAACTATTTTTCCTGTAATTAGTTTAAATAAAGTCAATACACATTGATCACATGTAGTTGTCCTCCGGGACTCCATAGAATCAGTCTATGGACAGCAAATGGCCCGCAGACCGCACTTTGGACAAACCCCAGAATAAACAGAAAGCTGACGTGCAGAACTCCCTGCAGTAACTAGTAACGACCAGCAGGTGGCAGAAAAGAAGAAGCAGTTAAAAAGTGAGAGCAATTGTCCCAACCTACTGACTTATTTATACCAAAAGATGACGGCATCATAATTACACTTAATATTTTACTTTAAATGTAAACTTATCTATATCTGCATTATTAAATAGCTGTAGAATTATTCCTTTGCAAAACATTTTATTTTATGATTTCAATGTGCAAATAAATGACGTTACCTGTAAAAATGAACCGATGTTTGTGGTTTTAACCATTTCCTGATCAAGAGAGCAGGAAACTTATTAGTATAATTTTAACATTTTATTTTTTTCTCTGGTTTAAAATAAACTGACCGTCATTAAGAACAATTACAAAAGCATGTGGTGTATAAATGTTTGCTGCAGTGGCTTCAGGCTGACTCCACTGATGTGATAAAGAGGAGAAATGACTGGATTATGTAGCTTAAATGTGTCCAAATATCTGACAATAATACAGAATGATTGTGGTGTGATGGGAAATAAAAACTTTTTTTTCCACATGTTTCTCTGTTGTTCACCTTTAACCCATATCAAGAAAACACATTTTTTACATAAAATGTCTAATCATGCCCTCTTCCAAAAATAAAACAAAAAGGAACTAAACAGAATGATATTTCTATATTAAATATAGACTAAAACTTGTGGCATAATATGCAACAACAAAAATATCCTGTGTTTCGGATGTTATAGAAGTTGCCAAACAATGACAGGAGAAAAGGAGATATAAAAAGAGATCAGACTTTTCTCTGAGTTAGAACATGGAAGATATGTCAGAAAGTGGAGAAAAAAACTATTAACTCATAAAAAATAACTGTCTGTTTGGTCTTAATATTATACTTTTATCAAAATGTTTTGTCTTTTTTCTGAATAACATCTTGAATGTCAAATCATTCAGAATCACAGCTGAATTTATTGTATTTTCTTTTAAAGCTGCTCTTGGTGAATAAACATGTTGCAGTCAGAATGATGTGATGTTTCTCTCCCACTGGCTGCAAGGTTTTGTGGAGTTAAACTGGTCAACAAAACCATCACAAATGCATTAACATTATTTAAAATTAGTAACATCAAATCATCAATGAACATCAAATATGTTGGTCCATGTTCCAGTTATTATGGTTCAAAGGCAACAATGAACAGGCGTCTTGATTTAGTCTTGATTTAACTATAGCTGTAAATCCCAGGAGATTTAAATGTCCCATTTAAGTTATAATACTCCTCAGATATTAATTTCTATCTGCCTGTTGGTTCTCCATCATCCAGGACATGACGAAACTAAAAAAGGCTTTAAAATAAAGCAACTTAAGTTATAATTTAAATATCCCATGGCTTGCATTGGGAGCCATTACAATATGTTTATGAGGAATTTTATTAAGAGCAGTTGCTGATTAGCTGCTTTTCTTTTTATTTCGAACTTTAACTTTTTGTAGCAGAGATTAGATCAGTGAGACTGAACAAAACTCGTATCCAAGCAACATTTGAATTTAATTTTACTTCTCAACAGGAATCTTACTGAGAAAAACATGTTTGATTTGCATTTCTAGTTATTTTTGCTCCTGCAGCTTGAATGGGGTTTAAAAACGTTTTAAACATTTTCTATTACATTTCACTGTAACTCTGCTGACCCCCAAAAAATTGGTCTTAGGAGATTTTTCCTATTTTTGATCCCCAATAATGAGATGGGATTTTCACCCTTGGTTGAATGTTGTGCATTTTTGATTCAGTAAGGAGCCACCTTTACACTGCGGGTTCAAACATCGGCCCACTCAATCTGACTGCACCACATGTCAGTGTGCTGCAACATCTGGGCCTCAAGCAAGAACACAAATTCATTGATCTCAAGTCGCAGCTTCCTTCTGTCGTGAGTTAGCAGAAACATTGCATTCGAACCATCAACCTGTGATTGTGGTCATTCAGAATTGACTCTAGTTTTCAGTAAGACAAATAAAATCAAGGGCATAGATTTAACAAACCGACACAATTAAATGCTTTTTACGAAACCTTGATGTTTATAGTGTGAGATTAAGTCACTTAATCTCCACCACCTCGACGCCATGTTGACTTTACGCTGCAAACTTCTTATCCTTCTTTAACTTCTTGACAAGTTTTCAAAATTGTTTATTCATTTCACAGTTGAGTCTAAAATCTAAACTTGTGAGGTTTATTTGACTTGCAGATTAGAAGTTAGGAGTTTCACATGATACAGAGACAGATTTCATTGTTGTGCCAACAGGCACTGCAGATGTTGACTTAACTCAACAGACCTTATCAGATTTATTTGCAGACATGAATCTGAACACACATCAGACACTAACAAAGCAAATGATTTATCTCCAGAAGCAGTAATAAATGGGGAATATCCTGTATTTGTATCAGACTTTCTCAAATCCAGAGAAAACTAAAGCACTTCACACTACATTCACTCACCTGGTTTTCTTTTGCAAAGCCCTTTGAACTGCCTTGCTTCTGAAATGTGCTGTACAAATAAACTTGACTCCAGTACCTGGACTGTGAGGTGAGGAGTGAGACGTGTGTTAAATGTCTGAGTTTCCCCCAGCAGGGGCAGTGCTGCCACATTACTGCAGCCAGCAAGCACTCAACGCTTTTATGGTTTTTTATATTCTGGTTGCATCCTTTTGTGTTTTAGTTGGATTTTGGTTTGTAAAGCACTTTGTGCTGCACTATTGTAAATTGTTTTCTATTTCAAGCTGCATTTTAAAGGGGTAGGAATATGTGTGCTCTGTTTTATAGAATAATTAAATACCTATGTTACCTTCAGGTATCAAAATACTATATATCAAATATGACAAACAAAATCTTACTTCCATATTTAACGCCTTGAAATTGTCCTTTTGAATTTAATTCAGATTAACTTGTTTATTTGCTGGAGTTACATGTAACTCTTTGTTTTAGTCCTTTTAATTTTGAGTGTTTGTAAAACCTTGTTTTTCCCTGATGCAGTAGAGTCTCTGGGTGGGCAGCTCCAGGCCTCGAGGGCCGGTGTCCTGTCACTTTAAGAGGCGTTTCTACTTCAACACACCTGGCGGTTGGAGTTGGTGCTGGAGATGATGGAGAGGCTGGAGCTGAGATGGTGGAGTGGAGGCTGGGCTCAGGCTGAGGTAACAAGCTGTTCAAATTTTTTACTTCTGTTTTTTAATATAATGTATTCATATTTTTATGTTTCTGTGTGTTTTTCTTCTTCTCTGTTTCTCCTCTCTAGAGCTTCTGTACATCACAAGGTGGAAACCTGGCAACTGCACCAACCAACAGTGAATATGATTGGCTGAGAAGCTACAGCTACAGCCAGGCCAGGACGTACAGATTGATTTGGATCAGAGGTTCTGATGCTCATTGCAATTATTGTTCTGCAGAATTTGTGAGACTTCAGAAAAATTATTTTAAATTTTTTGCCCATTTTAGATGAAATTACCAGAAATTCATTAGATAATAAATTAATGAACAAAGTTGCTAATTGAAGGAATTATTTTTATTTTAAACCCAACAGATTATTTATAGATTTCAAACATTCAGCCTTTACTTCTTCTCTCTCCTTGTGCTCCGTCCTTGTAGGACCGCCTGTGGCTCTGGAGCGACGGATCCCGGTTCGACTTCAGAGACTTTGTGCAATTCAGGGCCTCCAAGCAGCAGCACTTACAACTGCCTGGCAATGAATCATAACTCTCGTAAACTGCTGAAATGTTTACGAGATTAACCTCGTAAACATTGAAATAATGTTTTGAAATAATATCAAATAATAATAATATCAATAACTTAAATCATACACAGAGGAATCAATTTACTGTTAAAACCATTGAATCACTTCGTGCTTGCAGGTTGCTATTGCGGTGCTGCCCTCCCATGCAACAACCATCACCCATTCATCTGTGTTAGGAAATAAACACAGAAATGAAGGAACGTCCAATGAAGATGTCTCACCAATCTGACTTTTCTTCACTTCTCTCCCTCTGCTGTAACGCTACAAAATGAGAGACGCGACAAGATTGAGGAGGTGGATTTTCTCTTTGGTCGTGAGCCAGAGAGGAAACTGGATGTGTTGTGGATAGAATGCTTTTCTCTCAGCTTAACCTTCTTCTCTTCTTTATTGCAAAATAAAGTTTCTGAAGCATTGAAACAAGTTGGATTTTGAGTGTTTTTATACCTTGAATGACTTTTAAACACATTAAGAAAACAAGGAACACGGCTGCGGTGTGTTATTGTGTGGTAGAAGTTTACAGTTCTATACATTTCCTATGATGACCCGTCACCTGAATAGGTCACAAACAGTATGGAGCGCTCTCTGCTGAGCTTCACTGGTCACTACAGCTTTAATTAACAGTTTTGCATCTTGTATAAAAAACAACTAGACTCAAAATTCAGTATAACTTATTAGTTAGTTAAGGTTAAAAACCACTGCTATCTAATGTTCTAAAGGAAAACAGGTTTTATCTTGTAATCTTAAAGTTTATCATATAGACATTTTGTTCTCAGGCCAAACGTCAAAAATAATATCAGAAAA